GGAGCCACATGCGTGAAATACGGCGGGAGAATCACTATATATATATATATATATATATATATATATATATATATATATATAAAATTATTTATTTAAAAATTATAACATAAATATATTTATAAAATCACTACAAAATAGCCATTTTGTTTTAACACCTCTGATGTCTTATCAAGTGATGATGTTGAAGTATCAAGATCAAACATCATCACTTGATAAGACACCAGAGGTGTTGAAACAAAATTGCTATTTTTGTAGTGATTTTATAACATATTTATGTTATAATTTTTAAAGAAATAATTATCTTTGCTATACTTTGTATTGAGCACTCTTTTTAAATATAGTAATTGTTGGTTATTGGAATTTATTCCGTATACACCAATCATATATATATATATATATATATATATATATATATATATATATATATAGGGTGTTTCAAAAAATTTGATATCATTTCGCAATCTAATAACTTTGTTAGATCTCCTTCAAATGACTTCAAATTTTAATAGCATCTTTATGTTTAATGTTTGTTTTATGTTTTTATATCTTTATGTTTTTGTGTTTTTCTTATTTGTATTTTTATGTTCTTTAATCTTTAATCTTTTTTTTTTTTACAGGTATAAAAATGCTATTTACTAGAAGAGAAAAGGCGTTTTGTGTGTTGGAGTTTGCTAGAACACAGTCAAACAAGACTGTGCAGCGTGCATTTATGAGAGAGTTCTCTAGAAAGTCACCAACAGGAATGCAGATTTGGAGATGGCATAAAAAGTTCAAAGAGGAAGGCTGTCTGTGCAGAGCAAAAGGATCCGGACGACCACAAACTTCACATTTAATAGCATTTTTATGTTTAATGTGTGTTTTATGTTTTTATGTCTTTATGTTTTGTGTTTTTCTTATTTGTATTTTTACGTTCTTTAATCCTTAATCTTTTTCTTTACAGGTATAAAAATGTTATTTACTAGAAGAGAAAAGGCGTTTTGTGTGTTCACATAATCCACATGCTTTTGAATTTCTCATTCAGATTTGGAAAAATAAATCTTATGATCTTCAACATTAATACTTTTTAATTTAATTTGCCTTAATCATGTACTTTCTGTGATATTTACATCTCAAAGGATATCAACTTTTTGAAACACCCTATATATATATATATATATATATATATATATATATATATATACAAATGTTTTGAGGTACAACATTTATAAATAGTTTTAAAAACAAAAACCATTGATTTTAATTTTAAAAGTCTCTAGGGTCATCGACATATCTAACGTAAACAAACGGTTTAGACACTTTGCCGAAAAGTAACATCTCGTGGTAGCCCACAAAAATGTCAGCCAATGCAGGGCCAAGGGGACTGCCCATCTGGACCCCATCCACTTGACTATACATAATATTGTCAAAACTGAACTCCACCGAACTAGTACATAGTATCATGAGATCTATAAATGTATCCTTAGGAAAAGGAGGTGGAGCAATGTTACCTTCGTATAAAAAGTCTGCACAGATATCAATAGTTTCCCTCAATGGTACATTGGTAAATAGACTGGACACATCAAAAGAACACATAAAAATCAGTATCAGGGCAAGACTGTATGGCCTGTAGGCGTTCAACAAACGTGAACGAATCAGGTCTACAATGCTTAGCAAAAAATGTTTGGACCGGTTGTATGACCTGCAGAAGCCATTGAGCCAGAGAATATTGGGATGAACCAATCATTGAAAGTATTGGTCTCAATGGAACGTCCTTCTTATGAACTTTAGGAAGACCATAAAGCCTTGGTCTAAGGGAACCAGAAGGTCTAATCCTGTCATAAGTCTCCTTAGAAAAGTAACCTTTTCTAAACAAGTATAATAGACGTTTCTGAATTTTAATTTCATTTCTGTACGTGTTGTCACAAGTTTCAACTGGACCAATAAAATAATCAACATCTTTTGGATGTAATCTACTCGGTCCAGTAGAACAACACCAGCACCCTTATCCGGTTTACAAATATAAATATCATTTCATTATTGTATAGGTTTAAGAAAACCTTCTCTCTGCTGGCTATTGCTCAACATTTAGTTGAGAATATAGCTTGTGCCAAGTTGTATAAAAAAGAGTGTTTTAAAATTATTCATACAGCCGATTCCAATAATCATTTGAAGATTTTGGAATCGGTCTGTATAGGATTAAGAAAACCTTCTCTCTGCCGGCAGAAAGAATTTATAAGGTCTCTGAATCTGTTGGGGGATATTTTATTTTAACTGTCCCTCGCTAATTTATTTACACGATCCCTTCCCTCGTTACAAGTATATATACTTGTTTGTTATTTTAGTGTGTTTCCCCCTCTTTTTTTTTTTTTTTGCTCTTCAATATCGTTAATATTCTTTTCGCTAATCCAACGATTGTCTCCTGATGAGATGTTGGCTGAAAAGGCCCTAGAGACTTTTAAAATTAAAATCAATGGTTTCCTTTTTTTAAAACTATATATATATATATATATATATATATAAGGTTTCTCTGAAAAATAATAGGACTAGCTGTGCTGTGTGAGCTTTATTGCGAAAGAAGGATAAGCAAGGAAAGAAAGGAGAAGAAGAAGAAGAAGAAGAAGAAGAAGAAGAAGAAGAAGAAGAAGAAGAAGAAAATAACTATGATCTTAGCTTTCTGCAACCATGCACTTTTTTTTTTCGCATGTGAGAGCTGCAGCAGGACAAACAACGCAAACCATGCACCTGCTCACAACGCCCTGTGCATTTCCTGACCAATTTGATCATCGCTGTACTGGGAAAAAAATCCCTATTCACCTGATCTTGCATGGTATGACCGTCTTCTTTTCCTCAAACTCAAGGAGATCATCAAGGGCACACGTTTTGAAGGCATGGATGCCATCAAGAGGGCCGTAACGACAGATCTGAAGGGCGTAGAGGAAAAATCCTTTCAGTAGTGCATAGAAGCGAGGTAGAGAAAGATTGAAAAGGGCATTAGACTCTAGGGGATTGCTTTGAAGGGAAATCATGTAGTGCGTTGTTTCGAAGTGAAATAAAGTGTTTTGGACGCAAGTCCCATTACTTTTCAGACAAAACTCCTATAAAGACCTCGTATATGAAAATTCATATATATATATATATATATATATATATATATATATATATATATATATGCCGTTTCGTCCTATTTGGAACTCATCAGCAGTGCGCATCCACTACCGAACATCGAACCCGGACCATTTCGATACATTTCGATGAATTACTATATATGATCACTCTAAATACCCAAATATTTCTTCACACACACACATATATATATATATATATATATATATATATATATATATATATACTAGCAGCATGGCCCGGCGTTGCCCGTGCTTGATTAAAAAAATCGTACGACTCATACAGCAATCGCTATCACTTGACTTAAAATACTTTTACCCTTCCTTGCCTTTAAAGGAGTGCCCTTTGCCGTGCTGATGTTGCTACATGCCTTACTTCTTGCCTTTCTCACACTGCAAATTTTTTCTAAGCTCTATACTAAACATCTGTTACGAAAAAAGAACTAAACAAAATGAACATAAAACGATCAGCTTTAAAAAAAAGGACTCGTAACTGGAAAAACCGAATGAAAAAAGAATGTTAACAACAAATACTTTTTCACACCCAACGCAGTTCTGCAGAATCAGAATCAACGTTGTGTTTAAGCAAGCGAATGAGCCAATTGGAGTAAAGTGCCATGCAGATTTAAATTTTTCCCACTTGTGACGAATGCAGCTATCGATTTTTTTTGCATGCTAGCATGCTAGTTAACATTCATGTCAGTCAGCTGTTGGCTCTGACGCTGGCCAATAGAATCTTCCTGCCTGTTCGTGGCAGGCAAACTACATGAAAACTGCCGTAAAAGCATGAAAAAATCGATTATTTCCACTATCGGTGGGAGTTGGGAAATGCAATGTCGGTCTTGGCCTTTCCGCTAACTTGGAGAATGTGCATGTAAATTTTGGTGCAAATCCATCGAAAATTGCGGCCGTGCATTCGTTACACACACACACACATCCTATATTATATATATATATATATATATATATATATATATATACAACTGTCTAATATATATAAACAACAATCGCAAGCGGACCCGAAATGATGTGGGGTCGGGGGTCTGAATTAGTTTCTGATCAATAAAATGATTGATGCATCAGAGGACAAGGAATATTATAAACTTTCGAAACACTGAGCCTATTGTTCACGGTTGAGTTGATAGTTTTCTGGACAATGTTTTCTCTCCATATGAGGTCGCTAGTTTTATTATATACGGGTAGTCATTTCAACCTTGAGTTATTTCAATTCTGAATTGGTCTTCTCATGGATAATCTAAATTAAACTGGGTTAAAAGAAGAAAAAAAAACATATTTTATATGTACAGGTTGTCCGTAAAGTCTAAACACAGAGGCAAAAAAATGCATATTTCTTCATTATGTTTTCCATCATTTATTATGCAAAAGTTAATACGCTTTACAAAATACACGTGAACCTGATGTAATACCTCCACATTGCCGTCAGCAAAAGCATATTTACTCTTTATGCATTCAATCAAGTGTGTTGCATCTGTCATTTTCATTGAGTTCACCTTCTCCTTTAGCAGACCCTATTTGACCAAGATTTAAGGACACCATGTAGTAGCGATGGGCTCTCAAAAGTGAACCATCAATCCCAGAGGCCTGCAAACATGCCTTTGTTTTAGACTGATTTTTTTTTCTAAGGCTTAACATTTAGACAGGTTGTTTAAAACCAGAAAATATTTTTAGACTGTAACAATATCTTTTTGGAGATGATAACGAATTATTGATAAAAGTCCTACTAATTAACCCATAGCTGGAGGAGAAGGGATGGATTCATACCTTTACAAAGACTATTTGCTTATAAATGAATATAACAAACTCGACTTGAATTGGAACTCGGCGTTTTGATTTCCAATTCCGAACCGTTATCCATTACACCGCCTGCACATCCAAGTTTACATCAGCTGGTATTCCCAAGCGGTCACCCATCTAAGTAATGACCAGGATCGATGCTGCTTAACTTTAGTGATCGCACGAAAACCGGTTTTTCAATGTGAAATGGTCTTGAGCTTAGAGTAGAGATCTACAGGGATATACTATGACAAAAATTGAGGGATCTGTTTCTTACTTAGTTGTAAAAAAAATTGGTCACCGAATTAACATTCTTAATCTAATATTGAAGCTCTACAAATAAATTGGTCAGATCGAGCTACAAAGCAAGTGAATTCGGATGCATTAAAAAAAAAAAACAGATTTTATGAATTTTGGATTGGCCATCTTCTCACGAGTAGCAAAAATTAATCATGGTCATTTTAAAATGTCGTAAGGCAAATCTTTTGAAAGTATCCTCTCTTCTATTGACCGCGTCCTTTCAGGTTGTTTGTGATCATAGCTCTCCACAATTTCCTGTCCTTTGTTACTTGTAATACACTTATTTCTTCCACGGATTTAAGGTAACGCATCATTTACCTCTGTTCATGTTGCCTCCAATCTGCATAAATGTCATTCCATTTTATCTAAAATTTCATCGTTGCTTATATCTTTGGCCCATGGTATTCTCACCATCCTCCTGTAGAACCATATTTCTGTTGGTTCAAGTCTCTTCTTCATCTATGATGAGATTACTTAGCGTTCACTGCCATATTGGGAGACCGATATTACATAATAGTGCAATACTCCTTTTTTTTTTTATTTCTAATGAAATTTTCCTGTCTTTAATACTTTGCTTAGCTTTTGGAAGGCATCTTTCTCTATCTCAATGTGCTTCACATTTCACTATCGTGCTTTCTTTCCGTTTTCTGTTAAAACACTTCCCAGATATTTAAATTGTTGTACTGGTTTGATTTTGAAATTTCCAATGTCTAAATTCCATGTTAAGGTGTTTCTTTTTCTAACAACCATGCATTTTGTCTTCTTGAAATTGAAGTTCAGTCCTTTCGCTTTTCTTCGCTAAATTCTGTAAAAGTTTTGTAGCTTACTTTCGGTGTCTGCTGTCAGCACTGTGTCATCTACATATCTTATGTTGTTAAGACTGTGGCCGCCATTAATGAATCCTGATATGACATCTAATTCTCTAAGAATCGCCTCATTGTAAAGATTGTATCGGTTGAATAAGTCCGGTGAGAAGGCACATCGTTGTCTCTTTCCATATTACTATGCTATCAACACTGTATCATCTTCATATCTTAAGTTGTTAAAATGTTGGCTGTGAATAATGAATTCTGGTAGGACTTCTAATTCTCTCAGAATCGCCTCACTATATAGGTTAGATAAGTCCAGTGAGAAAACACATCCTTGTCTTACACCCCTTTCTGTAGGCACGGTGGTGCAATGTTAGCGGCTCGGATTGAGAAATGGGAGAGCCAAGTTCGAATTCCAGTTAAATCCATTATTGGAATTTTGGGGTACTAGTGGGCCAGCCAAAATGAGCCGACTCATTTTATAGTTCACCAATAGAAGGGTTAACCAATCAGAAGGCTCAAAATATTCAATGCGACGTGTATAAAGGCGGCCATGTTTTTTCCGAATATTCACTGCCAGCCTTTGATAACCCGGACGAGGCTCCGCCGAAGGGCAGAATCTCGTTCGGGGAGGTAGACAGACCCTGAACCCGTTTATACGCGTTCGAATAGGGAATATTTTTGGCTGAGCCTACGGGCTCGGATATCCCACGTTGATCCCGGCCTTGTGCCACATGTAACCCTCGTGGTGGGTGGTGGCTAAATATCACTGCCAGCCTTTGATATCGAAGACTGAAGAATTACTGAACAGCTGCTGGTGGTATTGGCGATATAGTCAGATTCAGTAGAGTGTCTGACTCGTGACTGTTAATCTTTAACGTTGTTTCATTGAACAGATTACGTACTGCGCTGGATTCTATATTCATAGACTATGGTGAACATGGTCAACATCCATTGCATTCACTTACGTGCTAATACCCTTGGGAAAAGTATGAATCCTCTTTTTCTCCCCCCCCAGCTATGGGTAAAATAGCAAGACAGTCCAGGTTCTGTAACCTTTGATGGTAACTGGTCTATGAAATGGTAACCTACCGCGGGAAAAAATCTGCCTTGTCAGTGATGTATCGAAAGATACATGATCGCCTAAGCGTGACACATAACTGACTGATTGATATTTACTGAACTCATTTTCTATCCGTATGCACGCGGTTTGCTGCCAGTATAAGTTCTGGATAATTTTAATATTCTTTCCAAATATATCAAGGTTATCTAGTGTTGTATATCCCTTATCTTCTGGCGAGATCTTGATCACTGCGCTAAAAAAACAATATGTTGTACAGCCCCTTCGTTCTAAGTATTGCTTAGCTGACGTTTTTTAGGCGATCATAATAAAGTTGTCTTCATTTCTTTCTTCTCTCGGCCGGGTGAACGCTACTTGGTTTATTCGGAGGTAAAATGAGAACTTCAACAAAAGGGATTTTAAACTTATTTATTTTATTAGACATGTCGACATGTGCATTTTTAACTAGCCGGTGGGGTCGCTCTATCACCCCCACTGTGGAGCAAGTCCCATACACGAAAATAACACGCCCACATTCTTCGACGTGTAAAAACTTAACTCCCTGAAATCACTTTCTATCTTTTTAACATTCTCGCGTTCGACTCAGTCAGTCAAAATCGACATCCCTATTTTGTCTGCCATCCGACCTTAAAGGTCAATTTCAGAACGTCTGAGCCAAAATACACTAAAAAAATAATAGTATGAAACTATTATTTAACACAAGCAGTTTAAACAGTTCTTTGTGAGGTAATTTATCAAAACCTTTTACATAATCTATAAAATCTATGATGAAAAGTGGGGGATCTGTTTATAACTTAGCTGTAAAACAAGACTGATCTACCAGTTAGCATCAAATTGTTTCTTAATCAAATATTGTGGAACTTCAAGCATGGTTGACAGATTGCACATCAAGTTGAGAATCCAGATACATTTTTAAAAACTCCACAGGTTAAAGATTTTAATTGAACTTCTAATTAGTAGCACTTCTTCTATGTGACTTGTCCTTTCAGGACGTGGGAAATCATGGCTCTCCATAATTTCTTATCATTTGTACCTTTTAGCCATATTTGTGGGGTTTTTTTTGTTTGTTTTTTTTTGTTTTGTTTTTACTATCCCTCACACCCCAGGTTGTTTCATCCATTTATACTAGCTCTTTAGGAAGATGACTCGATGATTTCCTCTATCTCACTTGTACGTCCTGTGAGCGTCAAATTCTCTCAACGTTCTTTCTTCATTATCTGTCCAAGAAATTCTAAATGTTCCAGAGTCTGAATACAAGTGTTCTATTTGTTTTCATTTTCATCAAAACTTTCTCTTTAGTCACATAATCTGTCTATGGTATTCTCATCATCCTTCTGTAGTAGAACATGTCTTTTGCCTCAAGTTTCCTTGTCAACTCTGAAAATTTTTCTTTGGGTTTATTAAATTTAAAAAATCGTTTCAAAATTTAACTAAGTTTAAACTTGCTTTTTCTAACTCTTTTGTTGAATGACCCCCCCCTCCATTTCAGGAGGGTAGTTAGAAAACGTTTATAATAATTGTAAAATTATTGTTATTGTAAAATAAGACCTACCAAAGGTCGCAAGAATTCTTCATGTGTCAATGGATATATAGATATTATTTAGTGTCTCAATAAAAACACCGTGGAGAAGGCAACGGGAATGCACTTCTCTATTAACGATCTTCCCGGTGTCATGAGTTCTCAACTCAGTATTCATGCCGATGGCAGGAGTAAAATAGTTATGTCAGCTACTCTCGAAAATGATCGCCAATCGGTGGTTAACTGGTGCAAGAAAACGCTTGTAAATTTTAACGCCTACAAAACTAAACAGCTACCTTTAATCGACAAAACTTCCCCGTGGACCACGTAAAAAACAGGGTCGGGTAGCTGTCTACCACCCCAGACGGCACTCTGCTCTTCGGCATAGCCTCGTCTGGGTTCCTCTCTGCCCGAAGGTAGAGAGTTCGACTAGCATAGTTGGAGACGAATCTCCAACTAATTGCCGAAGCAAGGTTATTTACCTCACCACCCCGCAAGGCAGGATGTGGCACAATGCCTTTTTTAAGGCGGGGTAAAACCGAGCCCGTGGGCTCCGTCAAAAATTCCCTGTAGACCCCGTAAAAAACGTGGTCGGGTAGCCGTAAAAAAAACGGGGTCGGCGTAGCCTTGTCTGGGTTCCTCTCCGCCCTAAGGCAGAGAGTTCGACTAGCATAGCTGGAGACGAATCTCCAACAAATTGCCGAAGCAAGTCCCCAGGTATATCCTGTGCTCACCATATATAGCTAATGATATAGTCAGTCCACATAGACGATAAGAAGTGTGGGACATTCCATTACTGCAGTATGATTAGCAAAATAGACAATCAAAAATTAATTTTAAATACGTTCGTTCCTCTCTGGCATTACCTAACTTAAGGTTTTTTGCCGTAATTATCTGAACTTTAAGATCGTTTTCTAAGAAACAGGCATATACAAGCTACTCTTGTAAAGCATTATTTGTATAATCAATTCGATTCTCACTGGGTGTCTTTTTATCATGTATTTCTACAGAACGGTGCAAGATCTCTTTTCAGCATGTGCCTGATTTTTATGCTTTGGATGGGATTAACGCCCTATTCTACTGTTGCTACCGTAACAAGTTCAGTCATGATTAGGCGGCCTCACATTTTTATCCTTGTGCCACACTATGCTATGTTTAGTAACGATTGATGATGAACACAATTAGAAAACTGAAAAACGTTTTAAGATATCAATTACAACCAGCCATCGCTGTAAATGGCGTCGAAAGACGGGCGGACAGTGGCAGAATTAATAGCGACTCTCGGACCAATGATATGACGAACGCAACGTCCAACCGGACGCGGACGCTTCATCGCGACACAACTGAGTTTATGCCCACGGTGACATGTGTTGTCGTCACTCTTCGATTTCAGGCGGTGGGCGACCTGGTCTAATGTACGAACCAACTTCCGGTAGTCTCTTCCGTCTTGATTGTTTTCCCCGCCTTGTCGGCCAGCAGGAGCCACTGTTTCCTTTCCAATT